ATGGGGGTTCGGCGGATAGCCTTAGTCCCTTCCTCAGAAGACCATTGTACCATTCAATCATTCCCACTGCCTGGAGATGATATGGCACATGTAATTTCCACTCAATGGAGAACTGAGAAGCCCACTTCTGTGCCCCATGTCCAATAAAGTGGGTTCCATTATCACTCTCTATGACCAGGGACCACCCCCGTACATGGCCGTAGGGTTGCTCAACATCTTAATAGTGCTTACCTGGTCAGGTGCCTTACTAGATCATACAAACAGAAGATCAGTAGCCATATCAATGGCTATGAAGATATACCTGTAGTTGTCTGACTTTGGCAGTGATCCCACAAGATCCACCTGCTACTATGTTAGGAGCATCCTCCTCTCAGGTTTTCTCACTATCTGCATGCAGCACCAGGAGAGCCATCAAGGGTACATCTGCCCACCAGGGGCATTCTTATGCAGCACCTGGAGGCAGGCCATTGACCACATGGTCTTGCAGCCAGCATGCTGCATTCTCAGGTTTATGCGGCACCCAGAAGGCCATCAACCATAGGGTCTTGCAGCCAGTATGCTGCATTCTCGGGTTTATGTGGCACCTGGAGGGCCATTGACCACATCATCTTGCAGCCAGCCTGCTGAATTCTCGAATGTAGCCATCCAGCTACATCAGCTCCAGGAGCTCTCTCCAGCCATCTTACGTCAGCCAATGCATTGGCTTCATCATTGCATGGACTGGCTAAAGGGAAGTGTCCTGTGATATGGAAAATACTTATTTCCTTTCAATGTCCTAAATCCCATAATTCCTGACACATGGCTTGTCCCCACAGGGGTTGGTGACCTACCAGCCATCATTGATACTTCCAAGTAGATATACAAAGGGTAAGACCCTTATATATGGCCCACTCATATTGTTCCAAATGACCTAGCAGTGTTGGAACTCACTTTGTTAAACCTGCAAGAAAATCAGAGGTTAGTAAGATATCATCTATGTAACAAAATATTATAACCGTGCCGGGCCGGGCCTAGTCCGCCTTGCTAGGTCTCCAGCCACTAAACCATGACAGGTGGTTAGGCTATGCAGGTAGCCTTGGGGCAACACTTGAAAAGTCCAGTGTCTTCTCTCCTATGTGAAGACAAATTATTCTGCAGGTCAGAATAGAGAAAAAAGCATTTGCAAAGTCCAGTACATAATGATAAGTTGCTAGCTGAGTTGTCAGCTGATCTGTCAAGTCATGAACCAAACACACAGCCGTGTGCAAAGGAGGCACTACTTTATTCAGTTCCCAATAGTCCAAATCACCCTCCAGGTGCCATCAGATTTTTCCACTGTCCATACTGGAGTGTTAAAGGGATTGTGTGTGGGACAAATGATGCCGACCTTTTCTAGCTCCAATATAGTGGCACCTATTTCCACACGTCCTCCTGGCAAGTGATACTGTTTCACATTGACCACATGCCTTGGCATGGGTGACACCTGTGGATCACGCTTAACATGTCCCCACAGCATAGGCTTCACTGTCTGTATCTGCAGCTGGAATTCTCCAACCATTGTTCACAGTTGTAACCCATAAAGTACATCTATACCCAAGATGTATTTGGATACAGGAGATACATACACAGTATATACATGAGGAGACTGCTCGTCCAGTGGTAAAGACACAGCTTTGACTGAAATAGTCTGTTCTCCATAAACATCAACATTCACTGTGGCCCCTAGAAACTTATCTGGGTTGCCATGTATCAAGCTACAGTCTAGGCCGGTGTCTACCAATGCTAATACATGCTGTACATTTGTCATCCACCCCTAGGTCCCACACCTGTAGGAGCCAAGCAGCTAGGGGTTTGGCTGTTTCTGATGCACAACAGGTCATGCAAGGGGACACACAGGTTCTCCCAACTCACCCTCAGGGTCATTATCATCCTCAGCTTCAGGAACAGGGTGACCTGTCCTGTACTTCATTCTCCAGCATGTCTGCCTTTTGCCGTGATGCCTCATGCAGTGCCCAGTCCATACTGGCTTGCAGTACAGCAAACCACAACCAGCCCATCCAGCCAGCCATTCTCTGGGACTCCTCATCTCTCACCATGGAGCTCAATACCCTGAGAGCTTCCTCTATGCTTTCGGGGGACCCATCCACTTGGTCCCATGTTTCCAGTGGAGCCCAAGTCCACAGGAACGCTGCCACCAGGTATCACATGCTTGAGGACAGCCACATCAACTCCCTCTCCTGAAGGGCTTGTGGCTCCCTTACCTGCTCATCCTGCTGCAACTATGCCAATTGTTGGGCTGGATCATAGACCTTTCTACCCCATCCTGTGCAGGTCCTGAGCTAGGTAGTCAAAAGGAAAACTGAGTAGCTGCCAGCAAAGTGGACATGCTTTATTTTTAGATGTGAGCTCTGCCGACCAGAAGTTCGGAGCCTCTGCCTTCCATACTGAAGAGCACACACACAAACAGGAAAAAGCCAAGGGGTACACGGGTGCACATGCGCACTAACTCTACTCCTATGTAACTTGTTCACAAAGGACGTGTGAATCATATCCAGCTGGATATGAGGCAAGGGGGCCTGACTATACCGACAGTGTGTATATCCAAATATGATGTTCTACACCTTAAATATATACCATTAAAAAAAGAATGGAGTTAAAAATATAGAAGTAGACAATGATAATAGGCTGGCATACAGGTAACATTTCAATGGAAACATTGTTTTAATACAAATAGAGAAAGGCATATGTAGATAGCATCAAAACAATTCTTCTCACTTATCCTAAATATATGGAAAAGAGAAATGAATTAACTAAAATAATCAATAGATCCTATGTTCCTGGAACAGAAATATTTCAAACTGGCTCTACATTACAAGCCTTCAGAATTTGAAGCTGTAATTCACATCATTACTCTCCTCAAATGATTACAAGCAGTTCAATATCTACCAGAAAGAATTAATGGAAAGAGAGAAGAACTGATTGAACCATTTCAAATTATATTCTTTATTATCACTCAAAATTCTTGTGAACGAAGATAGGTGAACATTTGGAAAATTGACAACAAATGGGAGTGAGTGTCTACAAAAGAGACTTAAGCTTTACATAATAGTCTGTGGAAACTGACAATGGATCCTCTTATAAAATGGAATAGACATGTTTATCATACATTAGTGACAAATATTTGTTCAGCTGTTTGGTTGAGTGTTCTATTATATGCACTGTCTTTTATATTAGAATGTTAGTTCGTACCATAGTTGTCCATTTTCCTTGAGAATGTTATGAAAGTTATGAATAGTCCCACAGAAAAATGCACATACTTACATAAATACAAGATTTCGTATTCATTTTCAGGGCATTTCATATCAGAAATAGGTCCATTTGTTAAACTTATAAAATGTGACTGGCTTAATATAATGTATTTAGTAGCAGTATACTTGGGCCCAATTCAAATTCTACTAAACATAGTAATCAAAGACTTATGCTAACTTTAAAGAAAGAAGGTATGGGTATAATTTTAATACCTTCATATTTCTGCACAGCTGTAGAGGCAATCAAAAGAATCCACTCACAATCTTGGGCTTTCATGAATATAAGTTTATATGGAAAATAATAGCATATTTAATAACACTTGTAACTTATGGTAAATTGTAATTTTTTGGAATGTTGTATTTTTAAAAACTCATGTTGACAGGCAATATTTTTTAAAAAGATTTCAGGCACTAAAAACCCAGCATGTAACTCATTAAGTAATATAAAGGTAACATAGAGGAGAGGCTGTGAAATAAAATAAAATGCGATATAAATACCTTTAATGATATCTTCAGCTGAAGTTAAATACTATAAAAATAATATAATTGGAAGTAATTACAATGAAAAGAGGAATGTTCTTTATATTTGAAAGGATTAGTTTCACCTATTTAAAATTGGAATTTTAAAGATACTTACGTTCAACAATATGAATCCTCTTTTTCCCAAGGCCATTTTCTTGGTTGGTTAATTTTTGATATGTATATTTTCAAATGGAAATTGTAACAGAAAATAGTTCAGAAAATACTGTTTGAGGTTTTAGGAAGTGTAGAAAAATGTTAAGATTGGAGAAATAATATATTATGATGTATTATAATGATAATATAATGTATTATAATCTTTTGTGTGGAAAATCTGTGGAGATAAATGCCTTCATGGCATATTTGTGAGATACTCTAGCATTTCAATTATTTTTCCCAAAAAAGAGATCTTGAATTTCATCTGTCTTAATAACATGGATCAGGGAGCAAGCAATTCATTGATTTGTGTAATCGTTCACTCAATAAATATTTATTGATATACTATGTGCCATGCACTGTTGCAACAAGAGATAGAATAAACAGAGATGAACAAAAATTACCCAGCATGGACCCTCAAGGAGATTACTTACAGTCTGTGAGAGAAGAATGATATACAGATGGAATTAAGATGAAGCATAATAAATTCCACGAAGGAAGCCATACAGAATACGAAATATCATGAGAGCACACAGCTCTTGCTGCTATGCACTATGGGCACTTTTGGCTTCTCTTTTGCTTTGAAAGAAAACTTTAATCTGGAGACTGAAACAAATAAACAACAACAACAAAAAAACTCTCTAATATATCGTGTTTCCATATCATACCAGCCCATTAGTCATCAAAATTTGAACAAACCATCGAAGTTGTAAATATAACATAATAATTGGTGTCTGGTTCCAGGGACCTAACACTATGGAAATCACTTAGGTCATTAAGCCATGTAAGAAAATTGCCACGTGTATCTCTTATCAATGTGAAAGACACTTTTCCCGTTTGAAACCAGTAATTAGTGTTTTCAAAAGTTCTATTGGAAGTGCTTTACTCAATAGAACACTAAAGGTATAGTGCTTAGTGTTCCAAGTTATAAGTGAACTAAGACGTGTTCCCCTCCATTTTAATTTATGTGTCCTCTTTCTCTCTCATTTTTTCTTTCCCTTCTTTTCTCTCCCCAGCCATCCTTTTCCTCTGTAAAGCAGTCAACTTCTGGAAGTAATTCAGCTCCATTATGAAAAAGAAGAGTATCACAAGAAGTGAAAGTGATTTTGACCCGAGGAGGTCGCTTGTCTCCACCTCTCCCCTCGCCCCCAGAGGAAGGATGGAGCAGCAAACGGTGGGGGTGGGAAAAGGAATCTGGCGTCTTTAAAGCAACAACTTGGCACATGCTTTGACTGCAGTGAGGCTCAAGTCCACTTCCTAACAGTCTGGAGATAGTCCACCCAGTGAGTTGTAAAACCTGTTACCCGTTAGAATCTTCTTTCTTTCCCCGACCCCCTCTCCCTAACCCCCGCACTTGAAGGGGATAGTCCCAAAGGCTGTTTCCGTCCAGACTTGATCCCGTCCCCTCACCACCCCCTCCCACCCTCAGGCCCAGCCATCTCATCACCCGCCCTGTCTCCGCCTCCAGACTTGACGACGGGGACAAATAGGTCTTCACACAACCTAAGGAGAAAGGCGCTTCATTGGTTAGATCCAAACCCCAGAGCAAGGGAGGGGGGCCAGGAGGGAGAAGAGGAGCCCAAGCTCCTCTTCTTGCTGTGGGCGGGGACCCACTTGGGGTGGGGGTTTGCGGATGGGAAGAAGAGGCGAGAGACCCCGGTCCTCATCCCCGAGTTACAGGTCGGAAGAAACTTGCCGAGCCTTGAGTGGCAGGCGCGCCGATGTTAACCCCACAGTCCGCAGGGTGCGGGCACGGAAGGGTGCGGAGCCGTATCCAGAGCTCTACACACACGCGGGAGGCTGGGCGAGAAAGGAGGGGGCGAGGCTAGGCAGGTTCCGCCTCCCCGGGCCGCGTGCACACACACGCCCACCGCGGCTCGGGCCGGCGGAGCGCGGGCGAGCGTGAGCGCCACTGTGCGCCCGCCGCGGAGCCGCTCTGCCCGCTCCTCGCACCCTGCCCAGGGCATCTCGAGAGCCTGGAAACGTGAACAGGCTTAAAGTATGGCATGTGGCAAAGATGGTTTCTGCCAAGAAGGTACCCGCGATCGCGCTGTCCTTCGGGGTCAGTTTCGCCCTCCTGCGCGTCCTGTGCCTGGCGGTTTGGTGAGTTCTCCGGAGTGCTGGGGGGCAACCGCAAGGTGGGGAAGGGGCCAGCTCCCGGCACCCCTCGGCCGCCCGCCCCTCCCGGGGGCGAACCAGACCTTTCCGTCTCCGCAGTAAAATCGGGGGCCGAAGCCAGGCTTTTCTGTGACCGCGTAGACGTGGAGAGCAGAAGAAGCGCGGGGTGGAGGAAGCGTGTGGCTACCGGGGCGCGAGTGCGCACTGGGGTGCGTGTGCGCGGGCTGCGCCTTTCCTGACCGCTCTGTCTCCCGCAGCCCAGCCCCCAGCCCTGCCACCTTCAGGTTGGGGCAAGCGACTCTCCCTTGAAGACAAACCTGGTTCCACCTGTTCTCCACTGGATTCTTAAAATAATCCCCTCCGCCCCCGCTTTTTTTTTTTTTTTTTTCCGCCTGCAGTTTAAACGAATCCCCAGGACAGAACCAAAAGGAGGAGAAATTGTGCCCGGAAAATTTTACCCGCATCCTGGACAGTTTGCTCGATGGTTATGACAACAGGCTGCGTCCTGGATTTGGGGGTATGAACGATTTCAAACGCGCAAGTGTGTCTGTCTGTCCCTCTCTGCGTCTTCCTGTCTGTCTGTCTGTGGGAATATCATTAGGTATGCCTCGCATGCAAAAATGAAAAATCTTCCGATCTCTCTGTCTCTCACTGTCTCTCTCTCCTTCCTCTATTGGTGAGACCTGTGACAAGAAGGCCGCCCCCACCAGTACTTTCCCATCTCCCTGCCCCCTCAGAATCTTTGGCTCTCCCCCACACTAATTACCTACCGGGACCTGACTCCTGGGCGGGGGAAATTGGAGGGGAAGAGTCAAAAATGGGAAATCCAGGCTCAGCTGCTGGGCCGCGTTGCGTCCTGAGGATGGAGTTCTCTGAACCTGGCCACTTGGCTCAGAGCAGGTTGCACTTGAGGCAACTGAACCGAACTGTCCTCCCGCGTGTCCGTTCCTCTGCCAAAACCTCAGCAGGTGCTCTACCTAGAACGTGAATTTAGGGCAAGAAGCTGTCTACTCTGCTAGAGAACCCAATCCTTTCTGTTCTTTTCTACAGAGGATAGAATTTTATTTTCTTTCTTCGGAGACGTGGCATTTGCTTTCCTGTAGACTTTGGAGTCAGAGATGTTTCAGCTTTATTTCTTTCTTCAACAAAATATTTGTAAAGGGCTTAGTAGAGGCACATGCACTAACAGTACTGTTGCTCTTTTTCATATTCATATTTTCTTTGTGTATGTAATGAAAATCTATGTGGCAAGCTTTGTACTATGCACTAGATTCACAGAAATCTTAAGATAAAATTCTTAACATCAAACAGCCTCTCAGTCCAGTTCAGTGAGAATTAGTGACTTGCTAGGGTCCGACTCGTAGAATTGGCCCAGGTCTTCTGACCTCAAAGTCCCTGTTCTTTCCAATACACTGCATTAGTTGGACCCTTCAGAAAATTAGTTGAATAAGACAAATATTCTATCTTAAAGCACCTTATATTCTAATAGTAGTAACAATAATAACAACCATTAATATTGTATTTAATTTTCATATATACCAGGCATTTTACAGGCATTACTATATTTAATCCTCACCATAACCCTAAGAAAAAACCATTACTATTCCCATTTTACAGATTAAAAAATCGAGGATTGGGAAGTTAAGTAACTGGTGAAAGTTCACAGTTACTAAGTGGCAGGGGCAGGATGTGAATCAGGTCAAGTTGTATGTTTAAAAGACAAACCCATGCATGTTGAGATAGTATCACATACTATGTGGTGAGTATCACATAATATTAGAAGCACGGAGGAATTTTATGTCTCCTATTGAGTATATACAGGAGAGGAGATGGTGGGAGAATGAAGAAAAAGATTTGAGGAACAGGACAGCATAAGATATGAGGTAGAAGGAGTGTGGTCCCAGGTTAGAAAAAGTTGTTGGATATAAAATAGAGTTGGATGGAGCAGAGCTGGATGATTGGAGTCTATCTAGTCTGGTTTTTCTCATTTCACAGATGAGGATACTAAGGATTGAAAAGGGAAAGTGCTTTATTCAGGGGCACAGAGCATATTAATTACAGGCTAGGATCAGGTCTTCTGAATTCCAAACCATTTTTTTTTTCTGAGTTTTATTGAGAAGGTTATGGGAAGACATTGAGGGTATTAATTCAGTATTTTTATGTTGATAGTGATAAAGATGGATGAGAAAGATAAGTTTCTCCTGGTTCTTTGAACGTTGCCTCTCCAGGGACAGGTTGCCTGTACTGCATTTACCTTCTTACAGAAGTGAATCATTTGTCAATGCATGCGTTTATGAATGACTGGGAAATTATCATTTTAGATCAGAAATATTTTTTTGAGAATGTTTTAGATGATATGGTAGCATTTAAGACTATATTATATAAATAGAAGAAGACATATGCCCATAAAGGTTTTAAACTTGACGTTTCAAGTGAAGAAAAAAGTAACAAGTGTCAAATCACAGTAGTTTTAAATATTCATCAGAGAATTGATGTACCTGAACATAAATGACAGTGGACAGTTATAACTGAAACTATATAACTATTAAATGTTGGAAGTTAAAATAGTATCTGCCCAGTTAGTTATAATGCAAGTTATAGTTTGAAAGGAAGAAGGAATTCATTGTAAACAGATCCTTTCTACCATCTACTCTCTCCTGTAGCATTACACAGATGATAAAATGGATGAAAATAATCTATATAAGACATTACTGGTTTTGGTTAGCTGTAATACTGCTAATTATCTCAAAGGCACTATTAGACATCTTAGTTGTCACTGCCAAGAAATCTGCATTACCCAATTGTCATACTTTCATAGGTTTATGGGAAGGTGTTGAATTCTCCTACTTTGAGGGTTAGCAGTTGATTAATCATTAAAATATTTACTATATAGCACAGTGTAGGGTATTTTGGGCTCCGTTCATAAATATTTGTGGTGGATGTGGTTCACTTTTTAGAAGTAGGTCATTCTGTGTAAATGCATAGTATTCCAAATGTGACAGAGGAATAGTAATTCTCACCTGCAGAAAATGTGTTATCTGTTTACATGAAGTTGTAAATGTGCACCACTGAAAATAATAACAGAACTAATTTTTAGCACAAACTCTTAGATGATGCAATTTTGATCTCTGCTATGACACTGTATCCTTTGTAGAAAGTTTGGCATTTTAAAAATAAAATGAAAACAATTCAGATTTTGACCAGTATGCTATAAATACGGATGTACTTCCTGGTTCCTTTAATCCTGCTTTTGCTCTTTGTGGGGCATTTACTTTATGTCTGTTTATACAACTTTGCTGTGTTCCATTTAAAAGAAAGCTAAAAGCAAAGATTTGAATTGAAATTGGATGGTTTGTGATTACTCAGTAGGCCAGGCAGGGGTTGAAATACATTTGGAAACTAAATTACATATTTTTAACTCAGCAGCACAGCTTGCAATGGGGAAATAAGAGGAACTGAAATGGTTCTCTTTTTTTCATCCCTCCAGGATCTCTTCTCCCTTGTCTCTTACATTCTCCAACTGGAGAAGAAAAGGGGAAGAGGTGAGAAGAGAAGGAAGGCAGCATGGCGAGAGAAGCTTGATTGGGACTTCTGAAAGGATATAGTTCTTTCAGTCTGTGACAAATCAGTTGCTATCATCCTGAGGTAGCTTGCACTGGCTTAGAAGTGGCACACAAGTGAAGCTTTCCACAAAGAAGCTAGAAAATCATTCGTGCTTACTTTTGCCACCTACTTTCAACACTGTTATACACCTTCTTAAACATGAATAGCTAAGGTACTAACCGCTAGAAGACAGTCTAGGAAGCCTGCCCTTACCCATTTTCCATTTATTGAAGGCTTGCACAGCCTTTTGTGCATCTCAACAGTTTTAGACACTTGACCTGGAATAATAAATACTTTAAATATATATGATTGCCTTGGACCATCTTCCATAACCTCTCTGAAATGGGAATAGAGAAGCAGAGTCAATTTTGCAAGGTTGCTCACTAGCAGTAGGATTTCATATTAGTGGAGTCCTCTATAGTTTTGAAAACATTTTCACATATAATATTTAATAAGATAATCACAAATACACAAAGAGATAAGCAGAGCAGGTGTCATCTCTCTGTTAGAGAAGAGGCTGAGAAAAGTCCCAATGAATTGCCCAAGAACCAGCCCTATAGCTAGTAATTGACGGGATCAGAACTCATACCCCAGTCTTCAAACCTTAGTCAAGCGGCTGGTGCATTGCTGTATCTGCTTCTAAGGCTTTCTTTGCATCATCCTGTTTATCCAGAGTCAAATTTTCCTGAATATACCTTCTTGTTACTAAATTAAGTAGGTCCCTAAAATAAGTGAGAGTACATTTCTCCCAAGGGAGTGAAATGAGAACTTTTATTTTAGACCTTTAATAATATTTTTAAATGGAAAAGTAAACATGGAAAATTGTATATATTTAGGTTAACATGGAGTACTTTTTTACACAAATCAAATTGTCTTTACAATGTTCTCAGATGATCTATATCTCAATCTAAAAATTAAATTTATGTGTTATGTGCTAGCTTTATTAATTGAATGTCAACAAAGTATATATTTTTAGAAATATACAGATGAAAAGAATACTTCAAATCCATTGGGCAACAGGAAGATAGAGCTTCATTTTCTTCTCATTTGTCACATTCATTTTTTTCTCTCATTCATTTGTTAAACCAATGTGTATTAAGAGATTCAGGAACAATATTAGGTTGGGAAGATGTACTGATCAGACACAGGTCCTCATAGACTTTACAGCTAAGCAGTGTAGAAAGACAAAAATAACAAAGACATAAATAACAAAATAATTAAATGAAAATGCCACAGGACGATCTAATATCATGCTAAGAGAGACAGAAAAAATTGGGTTGAGGGATCTACTTCAAATAAGGTGTTCAAAGGAAGTCTTTTAAGCTGAGATCTAAAGGTGCCAGGGACCGAAAGGGTAAGAGAAAAGTGTCCTCGGGCAGAAAAAAAAGTGCAAAGATTCAAAGGGAGACAATAGATTAGTGTGATTTAGACAGTGAAAGGAGTCCTGTGTGCTTGTAGCCAGAAGAAAAGGCTGATAAGCAGAAGCCAGGTCATGGGAGGCCTTTGGGGATCCTGTAAAAAAGCTCAAATTATTCTCTTAGTGAATCTGGAAGCCATTGTAGTTCTTTAAGTGGAGAACATGGCTTACCGTGACTTAGATTGTAACATGACCCATCTGCTGGCTGCATAAAGGTTTAGAAAAGAAGGTGGGGCAATATCGGAAGCACGAAGACCAATGAAGCTTTTGTGTTTGTTTTTCTTGTTCTCTCCATTAAGTGGATGGTTGCTTGGAATAAGGTGGTAGATGTAGTAAAGATGGACATAATTGGATAAAAGTGTGATAAAACTGGTGATAGATATTTTTGGGAGGTATAACTTGACAAAGAATTGGTGATAGATTTGATATGGATGGTAAAAGAAAGGGAAAATTTAAAAAAATACTCTGATTTCTATTTTGAGAAACTGGGCAAAAAT